CTGCCCGGCTCAGGCCCCGGGCTGGTCTTCCCACCCGCTGGAGGGGAGGGGCGGTCTGGGGAGAGGCCGGCCCACTTGGGCCTGTGTGGCGCACACCGGCCTGTCACTGTGGAAGCCGAGCCCACCCGGCCACACACCAGGGCCATGGCTCAGGCAAACAGGCCCCCGCCCGCCCAGGCCAGCCCCACCCCGACCTCACTCAGACCCGCCTTGCCAGGGTCACTCTGGGTGTGATCACAGCTCTGTGCCTCCAACACGCCTCCCGGTCTGGCAGGCTCCTATTCACCTTCCAGAGCCCCATCCTACAGCTCCTCTTCCCCTCCCCCAGATGCAGCCACAGCAACCACATGCTAGGTCTGGCTCTGCCCCTGCACCGGGCCCCAGAGGCAGGTTCTCTGAAGGCAGGGCCTGGGACCCCGGACTGCCCAGCTTAGGGCTAGGAACAGATTGCACAGGCAGAGCCTTCCGGAATGAACATATGAACCAAGGCTCCCTCCTCCAGGAAGCCTCCCTGGCTCCGCCCGGCTCCATGGGCTGCCAGGGCCAACGTCTGTGGGGGGCACAGCCACCTGCCCAGGCCCTGTCAGGCCCTGGGGCTCCAGAGTCACTGCCAGAACCTGGGCTACTGCTCCGGGCCTGTGGGGGAAGGCGGGCCCTGGGCAGCACAGCTGCCAGCCGGGAACAGAGCAGCCATTCAGGCAGGCCCACGTGCTGGCCCCAGGGGCCGCACCCCGCCCAGGCTGGATGGCGGGCGAGGGGCTCGTCCCTTGAGGAGGGGACCCAGGCTCCGAGCTGGGCTCGGGGCTGCCTCCTGGGAGCCTCAGCTTCCTCATCCGCAAGGCGGGAGGACGGCAGACCAGCCTCCGGACAGGGCCCCGGCGGGCGACAAAGCCGCGTCCCCACCGCACCCGTGCAGGCTGCAGACTTGGCCCTCCCTGTCAGCAGGGTCTGCTCCCACCAGGGAGGGAGGAGACAGCACACCCGGCCCTGGCCCTGCCTGCTGGCGTCGAGGATGAGGTGGGCACGGCCTGGCAGGGCTGCAGACAGCGGGGCTCAGTTTCCGGAAACCTAAGAGCTGGGTGACGCGTCCCTTTGGGGGAAGAAGACGCGCCCTTGTCCCCTGCCGTCCAGGGAGGCCAGCTGGTCAGGCTGGGGACAGCCTGGCCGCGGCCGGTCCACCCAGGAAGAGGGAGGACTCGACCAGGACGTGGGGACGCCCGTCTGTCGCCCTCTGTGGGGAGGCCACCGCCATGGCCGAGCCGCGAGGCAGGACGCTGTGGAAGGCGGCTCCTGACCCGTCCACGGCTTGTGGCTGGACCCCTGGGCCCTGTCTCACACGGGAGAAACCAGACCCTGCGAGCTCAAGGTCGCACGCGGCTGAGGTCACCTGGGCGTGGCGGTGGCCCCAAGGCCACCCTCCCTGTGCCGCGGCCCCTGCAGCAAAGGCTCTGACAAGCTCTGCAGGGAAGAAACTGCCGCCTGGCCGCCTGGTGCCGCCGAGGTGGGCGGGCACCTCTTCCCGGCCCCACTCACCCGTCGATGATGAGCTGGTCGTAGGGGGCCGGCTTGTCGCACGCCGGGCACATCCAGGTGGGCTTCTTCTCGTTCATCTGCAGGTAGAAGACGGCGTCGAAGCACTGCAGGTGGGCGCAGGTCTCCGCCCGGCAGGGCACGGACAGCCGCATCTTCACCAGCTGCGGGGCGGGCGCGTGA